GGAAAAAAATAAAAATAATGAAGGCAAGCAGACCTGGGATGTCACAATGTATCTCTTGTAAAGCCAGAAAACGGTAGACTAAAGAAGAATAAAGGAGATTAAACTCATTTTCCAGATATGAAATCAAGGAGGCACCATGCCTCCCAGGTCTTCAGTTACTGCAGCACAGATTTATATCTGTTTGAGTCCATATATTCAGCCAAGCATTTACTCTTCAGCTGAGACATTCATCCCTCTGCAGTGCCTCCCTCTTGCTTGCTGCTTCCCAGATTGGAGATGCGGGGCTGTTTGTCAGCTTTGAAAAACAACTGATCTTTGCAAAGGTTCAGCAGGGAGCTTCAGCGTGCAGAGCTCTTCCAAAACACAAAGATAGTTTCAAAAAGAAAATGTTGGCAAGGCGGAGAGCATGTAAAAACAACTCTGGGACCTACACCAGATTTCTGTCTTTTTGTTAGATTTAACAAACACTTTTAATTTGCAGCTGTTTTAAGGCTGAGTAGTTTATGCAGTAGAAACAGAACAGCTGTTCCCAAAGAGGTATACCACTTTAACTAAGCATGCAATAAAATACACAATTCATGAAAGTTCATGTGAAATTTATTGCGTCCATATTTAGTGCATGCACTGACACAAGTGCAGTTTCTCTGTTGCTGCGTGTGTGTTTGTGCCATATCTCCAGATGGTCCGTAAGCCCATGTGGCTCCCATGGTTCTCGACTAAAGCAGGAATGTTACTGGCTCGCTCAAATTCTGCAAACAACCTTTAATTCCTAGTTTAGATATTAATTAGTTTTCCTGTTATTTGGAGAAGCTCACTGATTTCCCCCGAGACACGTGGTGTTTATAATAGTGGGGTGTCTGCAGGCTTCACACTGCAGAGGAGCATGCTGGAGATGTAGGAGAATCAACGACATGTCTGAAACAAGTTCATTAAAAAGACTAAACACTGCAGTAAGTCTGGGAAGCATCAAAGGAGGTGATGTGGCTCTTTGGCACCATCAAACTGACATACATAAATGTCTGTGTCACGTGGAATGATGTAAATAAAGTCCTTTGTAGGACCTTTGTGGTTTATTTGCAGTTATGAAACATCTGCAATGTCATCGTATTCCCCTCGTGATCCAGTCATGTACGAAACCTTTCACTAGAGTAGGGGTTGTATGAACTAGACGACTAGTCGACCTCACTGCTCTGTAGTGATTTTTTATGCCTGTCATCGACTAGTCGCTGTCACGTGATAATGACCGACAAGATGCAGTCCACGGAAAAGACAGCAGGTGACGAGCTCCTGGTCGTCAGGAGGCAACGCGCTGTGCCAGAGCGTCGGTATCTGACACCCGCCGTAAAACGGGCATTTAACCAAATTGTGACCTTTACCCTCTTGCAATTTTACCTTCCCCTCACCCCCATCCTAACCTTAACCAGCTTGCGCATGCAAAGCTCTGATTGTTGGCGCACTCCAGACATCTGCGTCCTGAGCACGGCCACAGTAACATTATCAAATCAGGTGTCGCCACCTCAAAAACAAATTTAACACGCGATCGTTCATGTCGGCTCATTCCCTTTTATGTTTTCTGTCTTTTATTTGTGCCTGATGCTTTTCGCTGCTGTGGAGCGGAGCGCATCACCTTGTCCTCCGGTGACGCACATCACCGGTGCGGCCGGCGAGCACCCCGCTGGTTTAGCGGTTGGTAGATTTTTTAGAACTGCAGTTCAAAGGTCACTCATGAGGTGAATTTATATAAACCCAGGTAGCAGTTTCTCTTTAGGATTGAGAGGAGATGCAGGAAGATAATAAACAGACAGGACAGAAAAATAGTCAAATAAAAACAAGTTAGTTTTTGTACCTGGTGGTTGCAACAAACAGACACCATTGAAGGTAATCAGAAGTGAGGAAAAGAAAATGAAATAATTATTTTAACGTTTAGAGCAGCAGGAACTCCGAGAGGCTGCAGGCGCATCAGTGAGTTTGTGGCCGCTGCGCAGGGGGAGGGGGGAGAGGGCTGAAGCAGAAACTACCGTTGTTAAAAGAAATGTGTTTAACTCTGAAAATGTGGACGCAATTTTAATTGTCAAAAACTCCAGCGAACCAACCGACCCCCCCCCCCCCCCTTTCAGGTGTATGACGTCATCAACAACTAGTCAAAGTCGACTCGATTTTCATTACTTGACAGTCAACTTAAAAAAAAAATTAAGTCATGCAACCCCTACACTAAATTTGTTGTAAGAACTGAAAATTCAAATTTTTCTGCAGCCAGTCTCACTGAGATGCTGATTTTAGGCTGTCTGATTAATCTAAATTAACTTTAAGAGTGTGTACTTATGTGTGTTACACATGGACGTAATTTTGTGTGTGTGTGTGTGTGTGTGTGTGTGGGGGGGGGGGGGGGGGGGGGGGCATGTCCCCCCACTTTTTCCAAAGTCAAGTTTTGACCCCTGCACTTTTTATTCATCCAAGAACAATATTACACTATATTAAATTGACACTGATTGAGCTCTAGGACCAAGCGGAAAACAACCGTCTGTGTTGAAGCCTGTTTCCCATCAGATACCCCCCCCCCCCCCCCCCCCCGTGTCCCCCCACTTCTAAAGTGAAAATTACGTCCATGGATGTGTTTGTGTTGACCCTGTGATGGTTTGTCTGTCCAGTGTCTTTCAGCCAACGACAGCTTGGCAAGACCCAAGGGGCCTCATTTATCAACCGTACTTACGCACAGATCTGTGCGAACATCGTGCGTAGGAACTAATTTACGCATTGTGTGGTATTCATCATTTTGTACCTCTGTGTGAAAATGTTCCTAAATACAGGAAAACTTCAGAGCGCGCGCGTAGGAGCAGCATCTAGTGGTAGAACTGGGAACCGCAACACCGAAGGTCTCAGTCATCCACAAGTTATTTTACCCAATAAATAAGTATTTTGGTGGAACAGCAGCCATGCAAGATTACTGATGTTAAAACACCCTATGGGAATCTGTCATTGTAGAATAGATTTAGTGTTTTTTGTTACTCTTCCCATTTTTATTTTTAATTAATTAATATTTTAAATTAAATTAAATTCTATTATATTTTTGTTCTCGTGAAACGCCTCGTGATTTTGCTTGAAAGTCACTAGATAAAGGATCTTATTATTAATATTAAGGATTTGACAGAGCGTGCTCTGAAGGAATCTGATTAGGAGATCCTTCTGGAGCTGTGCTGTGATTTGGGACCGTTTGTGGAGCGACCGACAAACCGCCTGAATCCAATTCCAGTTCATATTCTATTTTACAGCTACGAGAACCCACAGAAGCTTATCTGCTCCCCGATCATACACACGTTGTCAAGGTAACCAGACTGAATGACAGCTCAGGAGGGGCTGCACTCTCGGACAACCTTTCCAAATTAAATTAATTCCAACCAGAATGACTCCTTAAATGTAAAACAAAAATGAGAACCTGCATTTAACCTCTGTCCCGACCAGGTTTATAACCTCTGCAACTTGTTTGGTTCTTTTGCACTTTGGCATTTCGCAACAAAATGTTCTTTTTTTTCCTGATAGAACGCAGAGAATCCCTTCACGAGCTGAGGATGTAGGGTGACCAAATATGGTTAATTGAGGGTGTTTCTGTATGTAAATGATTCAGAACGGAAACGAGCACATGGGTACGCACACAGGTGGGATTTATCATCAGACGATTGCGGAGGAACGTGAAGGAGGAGAGGCCACCGCATGTTTCATAAACCATGATTTTGACCGTTCGCACGAACATTCTAAATTTCGTTCATAGTATACTATGAACGAAATTTAGAATGTTCCTTATGAGGAATTTAGGAATATATCTACAAACGTTTGATGAATGAGGCCCTAGTCTTCCATCAGAAAGGATGACGTAGAAACAAAGAAATCAAAGCTATACTATGTAACCTTTTTATATTTTAAAATCATTTTGTTCAGCCAATATGAACACAGTTGATTTGTTTAATGTAGGGATGACTCACTTCTGTAGAAACCAATGAAGGCTGGGGAGACATTTCAGCTGTTAGATTAAGGCCTAGTCCACATGTAGCCGGGTTTTTAAAAAAACGAATATCCGCCCCTCCAGAAACTTGCATCCACACCACCTCGTTTAAAAAAAAACTCTGTCCACACGTACCCGGATAAATACGTTGTTAAGGACATGCCAGACCTGTAGGTGGCAGTACTTCCCCCGTTCTTAACCTCGTCCTTTGTCTGTGGTCTTCCGCAAGGAGCAGTAATTCCGCTTGCAAAAACAAACGAGCAAAAAGTGCTTGGACAATTGATAAAGCGAGCACAGCTCTGAGGGCATCCATGCTGTCGGCTAGTGTAAACACAGGTCGCACACGTGATGTCAGCATTTTTTTTGTCGTGGAAAGTGACGTTGCGGACCTTAAAACTCCGGTTTTGTCCGTCCACACGCAGACACCCAAAACGGAGAAAACGCAGATCTTCACTTTGGTCGGAGTTTTTAAAAAGATCCGTTTTCGTGTGAAAAAACTCCGTTTTCGTGTGGATGACAGGACAAAACGTAGAAAAATATCTACGTTTTGGCAGATCCCCGGCTACGTGTGGACAGGGCCTAAAGTGCTAGAAAGAGAACACACAGCAGTGACGTAGGTTTCATTTTCAGTTTGACCACAGAAAATTAATAATGCACACTAGGGGGCGCTAAAAGCAAGCAAAACTTACATATGTGCCTTTAATTTGTCCAAACTTTAAACTGCTTTGTGATATTGTTAGACTGCTAATGAGAAAATGAGGCATTTTCAGCTGCAACCAAGTTTTGGCTGATTATTGTCTGTTAAGCTATTAAATGACTGAATAACTCATAAGCAGAGATACAAGTCGGATGAGTAACTATCTTTATTTTGGATATACACTGTTACTGCACAGGTGTCGGATATCCTTCAGACCAACACACCTCAAAAAAAGTTGTGTTTTTATTCCATCGGGACACTTATGTTGATGTTCTTTGCAAATGAGTCTTTGTTTATCTTTTCCAGTGTACTCCCATCGGCGGCCATGGGTTTGTTCTGGATAAATACAAGTGTCAGTGCAGGAGAGGGTTCTACCATCCAAGCCAAGCGGTGCTCAACGGATTTAAAAGTAGGTTACAAAGCACAACACACAGTCTGCTGTCAGATCTACACTTTGAAACTTTCAAAAGCTAACTTGTGAGAAGATTTATTACAAACCTTCTTTTCATCTGACAGCACCCAGCTGTGACAACACCAGCTTCTAACAAATTATTTCTGATCTTTTTCACTGCAGAAGTGAGTCTTCTCTGGGTTGCAGTCAGAAAACAGGTGGCATTTAAACCACAAACCTGTTGGATCACTGACAGAAAACACATTGGCTATTACTTTTACTGTCTTCTGCCTTTTTTTCAGTCCTGACATGACTTAATAAACTTCTGGCTGCTTTAGTCTATTGAGGAGAGAAAGGAGAAAGGAAAAAACTAAGAAAACCAAAAGTGATCGTCCGTTTTTTTTGTGGATCTTTATATTCTTCACACTTTGCATGTGTGTTTGTATTCTGAGTGAAACCCCGCAGCACCCCCGAGGACAAAGCTCGGCCCTGATGAGCAAAACAATAAGGTGACTGCGGTGGTTCTCCTTTCAACGCTACATCACCTCCGGGAGGATAATTTACTAAACTGGAGCTTTATTATTATGCAGTGTGATGAGGCCGGTAGCTAAAAAGCCCCGTCTGGGAAGAGACTCATTTTGCAAGCCTCGTGCAAACCACCTCAGTAAAACTAACGATGGCTCAGGATGGTGAGTTTCCATTCCTAAATCCGAGTTTTAGTCTTTGTGCATCCATCAAAGAGATCTAAGTGCTGCTAATGACATGACCTGTTATTGTACAAAGGCAGAAAAAGCGTTGAATTTCATTCTAATCATTAGCTTAAGAAGCATATAGAACCAGATTTATCACATTCACGTGAGCAGTTATATTAGATAGAAACCTTATTTTATTGCTGCCTCTTTTCCCAGTCTGACAGGACAGACGTAAAGTGGTTTAATTTAGCCTTGTTTCTGTGATATTAATCAAACGGAGCCATTGGTGAAACGTCAGCTCCTGAAATGGCAACCCAAAATATATAGGTTTTCATTTCTAAGCTCTTCAGAAACTGTTCTTGTGTTTACTGCAAGCAAAACTGACAAGCAAAATATGGCCTGTGTTTGATATAGCGCCTTGTAGAGTTCTGCAAACTTAGTTTGACTTTAATGTTGTGTGTTACATCAGCTGGAGAAATGGACTAGGAGTAGAGGTGGGAAAAATGACAGATTCTAAGATGCATCGCGATTCAGCCGTGCATGATTCCGCATCGATGCAGCAACGTGACATAATGAGATTTTCTCCCTATGTCTATGTCTATGCGAGGACAATACAGTTTTGAGGTTTTACAGTTACTTCTGGGGGCAGAGTTGCAATGACATGCGCACTGTGTTGCCCTAGCGCCAATTTATAACAGAAAAGGCGGACAGGGATACAGGGCCAACATTACCAGTAATCAAAGATGTACCCGTTACATTTAAATCGGATGTCTGGGCTAATTTCGGTTTTGGGATCCTGGATGTGAAAGAATCACTTAACACAGTATTTGTTTACTATTTTAAAGTTCAGTAATATTCTATCTTAAAGCTGCTGTACCGAAAACATTATTTCTTATAGTATTTAAGTAATTAAAGGCAGCACACTTTAAAAATTATTGAACACTATAGTGAATAGATGAATGTTCTGTTTTTCAGGGATTTCGAAATCAAAAAGAAATTGAAAACTATTCTACTGCTTTTATTAAGTAATGAAAATTTTTGTGTGAAGAATCGTGATGCATTTCAGACTCAAATCGAATCTTTAGGCAGATAATCGGAATCGGATCGAATCGTGAGGCAGGTAGAGATGCACACCACTAACTAGGAGCAGCTAAGTCCAAAGCGCAGCCTAAGCTCACGCTTTGTTTTGGGACAGTCAGGAGCAGCTGACCTGAGGGAATGGGAGGAGGTTTTTGGGTGTAGCCGTTCACACAGCTAGGGGGGCAAGGCCATTAAAAGCTTTAAAAGCAAATAAAACAATTTTAAAATGAATCTTAAAATGCACAAGCAACCATTGTTAAAATGGGTTCAAGCGTCCGTGTCCGATAAGAGGTGGGCAGCAGCATTTTGGACAATCTGAAGCTAAGAGATCCAAGCATCACTTATTCCTGCATGAGACTGTTACATTAATCCAGCCGAGTCGTAACAAAGGTGTAGGGGTACTGTTTCAAAATGCCTCTGATTTACTTTTGCCATCTGATCTTATGTGGTTGTCTAACTTTAGTTCAGCATCCACTTTGACCCCAAGGTTAGTAACAGTTGGCTTAATGTACTCAGCCAACATCAGTGGACCTCACTGGAGCTTCAAAAAGCATCACCTCAATCTTTTTTCAGTAAACAGATTGCATACAGCCAGGCTTTTATGTCATCCAGACAAGAGAACAGTGTGATCAGAGAGCTTGAGTCTGTTTTCTTAAGTGGGAAATATATTTGAGTGTCATTCACATGACAGTGAAAACATATCCCATACTTTATGAAAATAGAGCCAAGAGGGAGCAGGTAAAGTGTGAACAGGAGGGGGTCCAAAACCGAGCCTTGTGGAATCCCACATCGGAGAGGGGCAGGGGAGGACACATGGTCACCAAAACAGATGCAGAATGTACACTCAGTTTAATAAGACCTGAACCAATCTGACACTGCACCTCTGATGTCCTCTCCACTGCGCAAGATGAGAAAGTAAAACTCCATGATCCACTATATCAAAGGCAGATGACAAGTCTAATGGGCTCGACACACGGGAGGCGACATCGCCTCTCCTCCATTCATTTTCAATGAGACATGCGCAACAAAGCGATAATCGCGGGTCTCTCTCCTACTAAGCGAAACGCGAAAAACGTGCGTGTGAAAGTTTGCACTCGTGCACGTGTCGTGCACGTACGACCCAGCGACGTGATCCCAGAAAGTTGAAACATTTTCAACTTTTCATCGCTGTCGCTCGGACGAGGACCAATCAACGGAGGTTTCATTCACTGACCAATGAGCGGACAGGATGCTCCGTACATCTCCGAGCAAACATGAAGGAGAAGTTGATTATTATTATGTTTTATAGTAAAATCAGAAGTAAGATTTCACATAACTCTAGCAGCACCTTGTGAAACATCATATCTACCACTTTATTAACTCTGAACCGCTTCAATAACCTTCATTCCCTCCAACCTGGCACAGCCAAACAAAACAATGGAAGTTTCGATTTCGCCATGGAACAGAAAGCGTAGACGGCTTTGCCGCTGCCGCGGATCGCCTCCCGTGTGACAGGTAATAAAAGCGACAGTGACAAATTTCGCTGATCGCGGTCGTTTGTCGCCTCCCGTGTGTCGAGCCCATAAAAGTATAAGGAGACAACGGTCACCAGAGTGAGTTGCCAAAAAACCTTTAAAAGGGCTGATTATGACCTGTGAAAAGATTTAAAACCAAACTGTAAACCCTCTAAAATATTCTGTTCTTTTAAATTAATTGGCTATAGACCACTTTCTCAAGTACTTTAGAAAGTGATGGCAGTTTATAAATCAGCCTACAGCAGCGCATTTAAAGGTTCCAGGGAACACAGAAGACCGGCAGCTATTCAAAAGGACAAGAACCGAGCACTCTACAGTGAGGAAAACCTCTTTTATTATTCAAGGAGGGATAGCATCAACCTGTTGGCTTTAAACTAATTTCCAGCGGGGGCATTGCCCACCCCAGGCCAGTCCTTGGGGGCACCATTTCACACCAGGATCATGACAGATAGTGAAATACGGGGGCGGATTAAGGACTGAAGAACATCCGGGGCTTAACACACGCGCGCACACACACACACACGTGACACGCACTAGTCAACATCATACATGTCTTGTACCACATAATTTTTAATCTGAAGCTACATATTAAGCATTTTCAGGGCAGAGTATTGTTCCTGTTAGTGTTTAGTGTGAGATGATAGTAAATATTCCCTTTCTTTCTCCAACAACTTTACCTGATAAGCTAACTTTAGGCAAACCAGCAGCACAACAAGTACTTTCAAATAAGATTCACAAACCTGAGTCAGCACCAGTCTCATCAAAGCTGGGGTTCTGTCGTTGTACTTTTGGTCTAAAAAACTTCCTTATGTCCATCTTCACTCATGCGTTTCAGGCAGAGAGTAGAAGAAGCCGGCTGCTGAAGGGCTTCTTCTTCAGTGGTGGAGGCTCAGACAGGCTGTATACAAACTACTGCCAGCTGCTCCCTCTCTGTTGGACTTTGGTACTGCATGTTAGTCTAATGAGCTTTGAAAGAAACAGACGTACTGCATGTTACTTCCGCAATTTAGATCCGGGGCTTCCTATGAAACATCCGGGGCTTCAGCCCAAGTAGCCGGGCCTAACGCCGCCCCTGGTGAAATATACATAATGTAAACAGTGTTTTTGGGAATCGAATAGAGTGAAAATCCCTTTTTCCTAGGCAACACTGTTTAATTACTGCTTTAACATTCAGAAGCTCAGCGGGTGTCTCCAAATGCTTTTGTCACTTCATGCTTAATCAATTCATTGATCTTGTCATCCAGAATCCTCTTGCATCCCCAATAGCGTTGGGATGCTGTGTGAAGACTTTGTGAGAACAAGAATTACGTTTACTCTGCTGTATCCAGACATACGGTGCTCAGTGAACTTCAGCTTAGAAAAGAGCCACTTGAGCTAAATATGACAGGAAAGTGTTTCAGACTGAGCTGCCTTACTGCATAAAGGGGTGTCATGTGCTGATATAAGAACTATCATTGAAGACCGAGGGTTGAAGAGGACAGTATCACATTAATTAATCCTCCTTTCTTTCACTATTACCTCAGATGCTTCATTAAAAACGGCATTCTTGTAATTATCTCCGGAGGCTTTTTGACTTATTGGGTTGATGAGATTTAATCCTGCAACTGATTAACTGAGCAGTTAATAGGAAGTCAGTGTGGTCCAAGAGATTATGAATTAAATGCAGTGATAATCCTTGAAAACACAACAGTAGATTAGACCTGCAGCTTTGTGTGTGATGATGAATAAATGTAGCCATTAAAACATGATTATAAATGTGTCCTTCAGGTGGGAAACAGAGCTCTAGCAGAGATGAGATGTCTGAAGTGTCCAGCAAATGCCTACCGTGTCGGGACAGCTGCCCCTACTGCCAGGACGACACCCCCTGTCTGGTGCACGAGGACGGGGCTCTGAGGCTCGCCGTCACCTCCTTCCAGGCTCTGTGCATGGTGCTGGACATGGCGAGCATGTTCGTGGTTTACCACTTCAGGAGGAACAAGGTGGGAGGAACATGGTGACCCACGTCTGACCAACCCAGACAGGGAGCTGATAATGAGTTACGTTAAAAACTAAAAGATCTGAGCTCAACCCAAACTATTTAGAGCTATGTATCTTCCCATTAATAATAATAATAATAATAATAGATTTTATTTGTAACGCACTTTACATTTCAGTGAAATCTCAAAGTGCTGCAGTGGGAAATCAGAAACAATGTATGGAATAATTAAAAACAATGAATAAAACAAATAAAAAAATACATAAAACCATACAATGCGAAGTTAACACACGGTAAAACAACAGCAATACCAATCAGTTTGGAAAAGCTTGTGTAAATGAAAATGTCTTCAGATGTTTTTTAAAACATTCAACACTCTGAGGTGCTCTCAGTGTTTCAGGGAGTGTGTTCCACAGGCGTGGGGCTGCTGCTTGAAAAGCTCGATCTCCCGTGGTATGGGCTGTTGCAGGAATTGAGAATTTCTAGAGCGAAGATTTCTTGAGATGATGTGGATAGTACGGAGCTCTTTAAGATAAATAGGAGCATTTCCGTGGATACGCTGATAGGTAAGGAGACCTAGTTTGTATTTAATTCTATGGGGGATTGGTAACCAATGAAGAGACTTCAGTACAGGTGTAATGTGGTCATGTTTGTGACCCCTTGTCACAATTCTGGCAGCACAGTTCCGGATGTGCTGAAGTCTCTGTAGGCATCCACTAGAATAAGTAAAGAATTGCAGTAGTCTAGCCTAGACGAAACAAAGGCATGGGTCAACTTCTCAGCATCTGATTGGGTAAGAAACGGGCGAAGTCTTGCTATGTTTTTTAGATGGAAAAATGATACTTTAGAAAGGTGACGGACATGATTTTCAAGTGATAAATGTTGGTCCAGTTTGATTCTGAGATTAGTGGTAGGTGTAGAAAATGTTATGTTACTACCTAATATGGTAATATGTTTTAGGTTAGAAGATTTGACCTGGTTAGGGTTAGGGTTAGGAGGAAGGGCACCGATGAGCAGTACCTCTGTTTTGCTGCTGTTTAGCTGGAGAAAATTTTCAGACATCCATGCCTTTGTCGCATCCAAGCGTGCACTAAAATAAGTTATAATAGATAATATTTGTAAAGTGTAAACTTTCTGGTCCCACTGCACAGGATCAGTACCTAAAGCAGAATGAAGGATGTCAGGTCAACAGTAGTGGTGAAGCCTTCTGAAGTGGCTCTCAGTCAACCATCCTCTCAGCTAAGTGCAAGAAGCTATTGCAGACCACCAAAAGGTCTAATTACAGATGAAATCTATGATGACAGAATACTAAATTAGCATGAAATACGTGAAGATCAAATAATGAAACGACAATAAATTTAGCTTACCTTCTCAGTGGCCTAGTGGTAGAACTTCCACCCTGGGAGTTGGAGATTGGGGTTAAAATCCCGGTCGAGTCATACCAAAGTCTTTTTAGAATGGGACCTAGTCCATCCCTGTTAGACACTCAACTTTGAGGGGTTGGATTAGGGGTTAAACCACCAAATAGACTTGGAGTGTAGCTCACCGCTCCCCACGAGGGATGGGTCAAATGCAGAGATGTAATTTCACCTGTGTGTGATGATGACTAATGGGACATTAGCTCATCTTCTCCACACTTTTACTACATTTTCATGTATATTAAAGATTTTAGGATGTACATGTGGCAGTACAAAGTAAGGTTAAGGTTAGGGTTTGCAGTTGACAATGCCACTGAAATTTCACTGGAGGATTTATCAGTTCTAAATATGAATATCCAGCCCATCATCGTATAGGTAACATGATGACAGCTTCAACACACCTCGCTGCTTAATGATAGTAATGCATGAAACGTATAACTCCCCGACAGAATTGTTTAGAAAATCATCAGAAAAGTTTCAGAGTGTTTCTGTTTTAACTTAAACTTCTGTTTTCAACTTTAAGACACGTTGTTTGTGACTGTTTACAGAGTAGTGAGAGCACGCAGCGTTCTCCCAGCGGCAGCCAGGTGCCTCTCGTTTGTCTGACTACCTTCATAAACTACTGCTAGGGCAAAGAATTATTCTGTCTGGTGCTTTCAGCGCTGCACAGATGTTACATAAATGTTAAAAATATAGCGTACCGCAACTTTTGTAACGTTTCCGGTGCCACCGGGCAGCCGCAGAAAAATGTCCGCGACACGGACTCCGTTGTTGTCTGGAAGTTATTTGTTTTTCAAGTTAAGAAAAGAGGCGGACGTGTTTCCTAAATCCAGCATCAGTCCAAGCAAGGCAACTTCTTTCTGTTTTTATTCCGTTTTAGTAGCCATTAGCACTGTGCATCGTTGTGTGCATCAGTTATATTCGGTGTACGAGGAAATTATGCAACGACAAAGGTTCCGCCCTACTTGAAATGCAAGCTGCGATTTTAAATGCGTGAATTTTTTAAACGCGTCTTTTTTTTCTAACTAATTAATCATAATTAACGTGTTAAAGTCCCGGCCCTAATAACATCATACCTTGAACAAGTAAAAACCTGCAGAAGCAGACACATGAACGAATGCCGGAGCCACCTGTTTTCTTTTCTGTTTTTCTTCAAACCTCAAATTGTATTTCAAGAAAATGAAAAGCAAGAAAACGTTTGATAACTTTGTATCTTTTTTTTTTTGTCCGGTTAAGCTCAGATCTTGATGGCTCAGTGTCACTATTACAGATGGTATCTCCATTAGAAAATATAATAATATAACTTTCTGTACTTTTATTTCATTCTAGAAGAAATAATAACCAACATATTTACCATAGCTTCTCCCTTTGAAATCCTGTAGATTTTCAGTAAATGTACATGACTCTCTCTGCCAGTAGCAGGGAAGTAAACACATTCTCTCATCTGTAACGGCCCTCAGGCAGAACTGAGGTGAAACTTTTAGAGGTGAGCTATTTATAGTTCATTTGAGTTGTTGCCTCAGATTCTCCCAGATTTCTTTCTTTACAAGGAAGGTCCCCACAGGCTTTTAGATTATCACAACAGATAAGTCCTCTATGAAGATACGCGGGTAATTACATGCAACCCAGAAAACTTCTGTTTAACTCTCGTGCTCAAGAAAACACGAGGTTTGAAAAAGTGTTTCTGCTGATCTGTTCTCAGCTTTAAATGAGCATTTCTCTGCAACGAAAGGCAAGTTGGATCTCGTTACAGCAGTATGTCGGAAGTGACAGGTTTTACAGAATTTTGTTTTAGATAGAAGTTTACATCAACAGAACAGCAGCAGTATTAAATGAATCAGGTACCTTAAAAACCATCTAAAAATATCAGATTAGTAGTTTTCTCCCTTCATGCACTGAATGCTTTTCCTTTCCTTCTGCCTCTTTGACAGAGCATCCGTACGTCAGGCCTCATCCTGTTGGAAGCCATCTTGTTTGGGGTGTTGCTGCTCTACCTCCCAGTAAGTCAGCCTGCTTGCCCACTGCAACTTAAAATTGCTAGTTCAGATCTCCTGAAGTGGGTTTTTTTTGTGAAAAGAATATGCACACTTAACATCTTACCTGTTGTAGATGGTTTTGAACTTTGAACGGTTGCAGCTTGGAGGAAAAAAAACCTAATGGTAGTTTGAGTAGGTCCAATATAAAATGGAACACTTTGAGCTTAAAAAAAAGGAATCCATCAAAAATAAGATGGTCAGGGACGAGGTCCTGCTCCAAGTGGGAGTTTAAGTATCTTATGGGCTTGACACACGGGAGGCGACATCTTCTCTCCTCCATTCATTTTCAATGAGACATGCGCGACAAAGCGATAATCGCGGGTCTCCCTCCTACCAAGCGAAATGCGAAAAACGTGCGTGTGAAATTTTGCACTCGTGCACGTGTCGTGCACAGGCGACCTAGTGACGCGATCCCAGAAAGTTGAAACATTTTCAGCTTTTCATCGCTGTCGCTCGGACGAGGACCAATCAACGGAGGTTTCATTCACTGACCAATGAGTGGACATGATGCTCCGTACACCTCCGAGCAAACATGGAGGAGAAGTTGATTATTATTATGTTTTATAGTAAAATCACAAGTAAGATTTCACATAACTCTTAGCAGCACCTTGTAAAACATCATATCTACCACTTTATTAACTCTGAACCACGTAAATAACCTTAATTCCTTCCAACCTGACACAGCAAAACATGTCACCATGGAACAGAACGCGTAGACGGCTTTGCCGCGGATCGCCTCCCGTGTGTCAGGTAATAAAAGCGACAGCGACAAATTTCGCTGATCGCGGTCGTTAGTCGCCTCCCGTGTGTCGAGTCCATAAGGTTCTTGTTCACGAGTGAGGGTAAGATGGCGCGCAAGATCGATATGCAAATTGGTGCTGCGTCTGCAGTGATGCGAGCGTTGAACCGGTTTGTCATGGTGAAGAGAGAGCTGAGCCGGAAGGTGAAGCTCTTGATTTACCGGTCGTTCTATGTTCCTGCTCTCACCTATGGTCACGAGCTTTGGGTAATGACCGAAAGAACGAATCGCTGATACAAGCGGCCGAAATGAGTTTTCTCCACAGGGTGGCTGGGCTCTCCCTTAGAGATAGGGTGAGAAGCTCGGTCATTCGGGAGGGGCTCGGAGTAGACCTGCTGCTCCTCCACATCGAGAGGAGCCAGTTGAGGTGGCTCAGGCCTCTGGTCAGGATGCCTCCTGGACACCTCCCTGGTGAGGTTTTCCGGGCACGTCCAACCGAGAGGAGACCTAAGGTAGACCCAGGACACGGTGGAGGGACTATGTCTCTCACCTGGCAAGGGAACGCCTTGGGATTCCCCCAGACGAGCTGGCCCAAGTGGCTGGGGAGAGGGAAGTCTGGGCCTCTCGTCTTAGGCAACTGCCCCCACGACCTGACTCTGGATAAACGGATGAAAATGGATGGATGGATGGATGGATGGATGGATGGATAGAAGATATTTGATCAGTCAGATGGATCACATTTCAACATCTACACAACAGTTTTCAACCATAAATATGGTCAAATCTAAGGCTTATTTTTTTCACATCCCGAGTATAAAACACAGAAGTGGGAGGAAGGGATGTGTTTACATGATAATATTCCTTCATTTATACATCACGCAGCACATTCCCATTTTAACAAGGCAATGATGGCATTCAGTCTGTTGCCACAGTTTGCTGTTATGGTGTCTCACTTGTGATCACTGTCAGGACAATAACGGAGACCAAGACACTACAGCTGGTGTGCAAGCATGCTGGGAATGTGTCATAGTCTTTGTGCATGTGTGTGTGCCTCTGCCAGCCTTTGTGTTGACAAAGTAGGAGGGTGCCATTGCACGGTGTGTGTTTACACAGCCCACATTCCACCTGGAGAGCTGAATCAGCGGGCCATCTTTAGAAGGCAAGCAGATGGAGGGAGCCTGTGTGTCATGTGATGGGAAGACATGATGAAAACAGGGAATTCACTCCCTGTGGTTGAGGAGTTGCCTCTCTCTGCAAACATAAAGCTCAGAGGGAGAATGTGAACCTTTCTTACCCCCAAATTCCACTATCTCCGCTCCTCTCCGCTCCGACACGAACGCCGGAGCAAAATCGGTCCCGTTGGAGTCTATCAGAGCAATTCCACTACTGCGGCCGTGCTCCGGCAGTGCGGCGCCGTGCGCCGCCCTCTGTTCCGGCGTCCGGCAAAAATAGAATCGATCCTATTTTCGCCGGATGCCGTAGCACCTCCGCAGTAAATTGACAGAAATCACAACCGCCCAACAGGAAAAGGAGCAAGCACAATTTCCGTTTTTCACAATAAATCGATAAACAAAAGGCGTTTTTTGTTTCATATGCAGAGGTTTAACAACTTTTAACAACTATCAATGGCGGCTGAAGTTTAAATGCACAAAAGTAAGCCATAAATACAGTTTCTACTATCAAAGTAGTCACACTTTGTTGATCCAAACATTGCTGATCTCTCAACACAAATGATGGGCAGATTAAACAGTTCATGCCGATGCTTCTCCCACACAACAGGCGTCTGGATCTAACTTCCGTGTTTATTGCTCGGACTGTATCGCAAGATCTCGAAAATCCCGCGCATGCTTGTTTGCCCCCCTCAGGTCTCCGCACCGGAGCGGAGCCGTTGTAGAGCGGGTACCAAGAAAAATTGAGTTCGGAAGCGAGCGGCTGCGGAAGGCGGGGGCGGACCGGAGCGGAGGTAGTGGAATTTGGGGGTTAGACAAAAATTTGTCTTTGGAAAAGAACGAGGTGGTGGCTTCTCTCCAAATAAAGATATTTTCCACTGCTGCTGGCTTCTTCAGGCTAAAGAAGCCAGCAGCCGTCGGCGAAACATAGCGTCAACAGGTAACAAAACCGTTTGTGTTTTAAAAAAGAACGACAACATGGAATTAGAACGACACAGCAAGAACACACCTAAGAGGTTCTTAGAAATGTTTCTTTACAGGTGCAGCAGCTGGTTGCTGTTTTTATGTTGGTTTCCTAGTTGTTTTTATTTTCCTCTCTTATTTACTTGTTTGTCCTCTATCAACCCTCTTTATTCCATCTTGGTTCAGCATTTACATGCTGATGTGGTGATACATAACCCAAACCAATATTACAAAAACATAAATTTTTATTCAAGGGGAACCTCGTACACATTAAGGCTCCTCTTGATAGAGCAAATCTGTTCAGCACATTCTGACAGACAGACCACCATTCGTCTGTCATGTTGCTGTACAGGACATTTTTAGTTTTTCTTTTTAAAAATAAATAGTATTGCATTTAAAGAGCAATACTTTCACATTATCATTTTCCCACACTTTCTGTATACCTGTATTTTATTGTTTTTCAATAAAGAATGACAAATGATTTAAGTTCATGGTTTTTTTAGCACACAAATATCTATCTGTAAAAAATATATACGAATACCTACAAAGCTAATATTTACATAACAAGTATGATTGGGTTTTGCAATACGGCAGCCTCTAAGGTTTATTTTAGTCAGATTTTTAAACCAAGAAAAGTTAGTACAGAACACATTTCTATTGGCTGCTACGAAACTGTTGTACTTAAAATGGGCCTGTTGTAGAAATAGCTTGGCATGAATGATTCTTCCCTCCTTTTTTTTTCCTTAACCAAAGAAATTCCAGTAATTGAGCAAAAAAAATTTTTTTACATCACAATTTATAAAATAAGAAGACACAAAATTTTGGTACATTAAAAAAAACTTTAAATAATAAAAGGGGCCCAGAGAGCTGCAGAGTGAGTGGCACATTGGGTTGTGAAGGAAGAACAGAGTTGTCAACAGTGTTATGGCTATAAATAAATTATATCAACAACACATTAGCTATAACAGTCAGGGATATGTTTAACCTGTTTGCATGAAAATAAATCTGTCCAAAAGGCAAAATTCAAAAGCAGCGAGACTCCCACCTGGAAGTCTTTCACTGCTTTTGGAGCTGGCCTTTAAGACAAATAGGCAATATTAGTTAAAAATATGGAGAAAAAAAATAACAGGTTTGGCCTAGCTGTTTAAAATCCAAAACCATACATGAAGTGGTCATGACAGGTACTTGGTACTTACACTTGCTGCGTTGTGTAGCCGATGTTGAAGACACAGGCTGCCATGGTGACCTTTTAACAGATCTAAGATAAAAATGTAATAAAAGAATGAAACTTAAAACACCCAGACCTCATTTCATGATTGCCAATCAGCCACGGCTGATTTTTTGTTTGGATCACAGTGAGTTACACAAATTCTAATATATTTTTATTTCTATTATGCATACATACTTTTTAATTATTATTTTCACATGACTGTTATCAGGCTCTCTTGTTCTGGTTCTCCTGATAATTCTGTTTCTTTCAGTAAGTTATCTTGTGCTTACTTCATCTGTATAATGTCTCTTTACTTTTGGTAAATTGTACTGAGTCCAGAATAAAGGCTACTTGGCTTTACAAGATACAAACAAGTATTAAGTTTTAGAACTATATGAAATGTATTCAGCCTGCTAATTTATCTCAAATACTAATAACTACCGTATTTTCCGGACTATAAGTCGCACTTTTTTTCATAGTCTGGCCGGTCCTGTGACTTATACTCCGGAGCGATATATATACCAAAATATGTAGGCTATACCGCGCTGCTGCGGGATGGCTCCGGACCAGGAATGAGCTCCCCTGCCCCGCTGGGAATAAAAAACACACAGCCATCCCCTGCTGGAGACTGTTGCGCGCCATTGCGCACCTGATCCAGCCCAGGTTTCAGCTCCTCTGCACTGCCATCACCTGCTGCAGCCTATGGCGCGCTGCTGCGGGCCGGCTCCGACCCAGGAATGAGCTCCCCTGTCCTGCTGGGAGGGTTTCAAACAACACCATCCTCTGCTGGAGACTGTGGCGCGCTGCTGCGCCCGCATTGTTTATTCTGTTATTGTTACTGGTACTTGTCTTGCAATGTGAAATGCTTGGTCTCAGATTTTGTAAGCAAAATAATAAAATTTCCCCTCAAAATGCGACATATATGTTTTTTCTTCTTCATTATACATTTTATGGCTGGTGCGACTTATACTCCGGAGTGACTTATGTTCCGGAAAATACGGTACGTTAAAAATATTGAAAACTTGCTCAAAGGAAAATATATTTTCATTAAGGAAATCACTTATAAACTTACCGATTTAATACTTTTTTATTCACAGAAAGATAGTTTTCATGAAAAAGTGCCGCAAACTTCCACACAAACTCCATGTGAGCTTCAGGCCGCTGTTGTTCCACAGAGTTAGCTCCGGTTGTAGCTAGGTAGCTACCTCCATTAGCTTAGCTCCCACCTCCGCGTTAGCTTTGGGTTAGCTTGTAGCTACATCGCTTCAGTTCGACCGGGTGTCTTTATTTGATCCCAGCCTTACAGCCCCACTCTCAGCTCCACCTCTCTTCCCTTTTTGTGGAATTGTCTGGGCTTGACGGAACCTGTGACACGGTCAAAATGGCGGTGGTGGCCACCTCCCATTTTACTTCAAAAACGTAATGTTGGAGCCTATAGAGCTCCGGACCCCACGTGACTCTCAGTTAGTAGATGCCATTTTGGCAGGAAAAAAAGGTAAACAAACACGGATGTAACCATGAACGTGAACGGGATATCCGCTTGGATTTTACTTCGTCGGAGTTTACTTCACACTTTAAAACCGAAGAAATCGTTTTATATAGTCAGAAATGAAATAGACTAAACATCTCCGACCCTTACCGTGCCCCTGGGATACTTTTTAAAAACGCCAGAAGCTGTCGGAGCGGACTACACCGGACCTGGCCGGGGAACCCCTTGGGATTCCCTCGGCCGGAGGAGCTGGGGAGAGGTCTGGGACTCTCGACGCTACTGCCCGCTCCGACGCCAGAAGCTGTCGGAGCGGACTTCTTACTGGACCTGGCCGGGGAACCCCTTGGGATTTACCCGGAGGAGCTGGCTCCGGCGGCTGGGGAGAGGGAAGTCAGGGCCTCTCGACTTAGGCTACTGCCCCCGCAACCCGACTCCGGATAAGCGGATGAAAATGGATGGATGGATGGATGGACAAATAACAGATTTACACGTAAGTAGTTTTAACAGAGTGCTGTGCTGTTTGAATGTATAAACTGAACGCCAAGAGAAATCACTAGTCTGATTTTTTTTTCATGAATAAAATAAATATGTCAGGCAGGAGCGTCTCAGGATCTGTCTGAGATCTGTCTCGGTGAGACAGATAATAGCAATCCAAAGTGCTTTTTATGTGTGATCTGACAATTGATCAACCATTGCTTAAAAATGAAATACAGCTTAGCCGGTTAATTGCTGTGATCATAAAACACGGAAACGGCAGCACGCAGAACTCACGAGGCACCGTTTTACGAGATGTTTACTTGTTGCTATGAGTAATAAGACAGAAAAAGCCACGCCAAAATAAGTTTAGGAAGCCCACTAAGAATTGTAATAAAAGCATTTAAAATAAACACCATGCACAGTTGAGGAAACGGTGCTTTAAGTACCTGATATGAAGCGGTCGCTGCATAAGTGAAATCCTTTACTCTCGGGATCCCACAGTTTAATTTTAGCCCGGTCACTAGCGCGTTTTATTACAATGATCCAACGTATGCGGCGCTCCGGATCTTGGGGAATCCTGTAGATGGCTCATTCCTTTTGTTGTCCGCGTCTGTTCTGCATCCTGGGGCACAACAGGAATCTACCATATTTCCTGTTTGATTGAGTTTTTTGACAATAACAAATAGTCCGGCTGCTGGCTTCTGCCTGCCTAATGGCGCCGTTTCGATTTGAACTGTTGCATGCCGGGAAACGTGACGTCAACTCCCGGAGCTCTATGGGAACTCATTGTCCATATATACATGGTTCGCACCCTTCCAATTCTGAAAGGTGCTAAACAAATGTCATTCACACAAATTTCTATCCCTCTCTATATGAGTGCTGCAGCAAAATTAGTGTGACCAGATGCAGCTTTAACATGTTATGGAGGTATGATGCAAAATTCACCTTTTGCATCTTTTTGTGCTGCCATGTGCGTCTCTGCTGCTTCTATAAACAAACATGAACAAAATTCTATAATGAGCTGCTTTAAAAAGTTCATTATTGTGGCATCATGATGAAGAAAATTTACAAAGCTGGAGGAGCAGCAGCTCTACTCTGAGCCCCTCCTTAATATCAGAGTTCTGTCCAGAGACAGCTTGTTTTCTTTAAATGAGAGAGCCCTGAAGCGGCTCTTCTGGAAGGTAAATAAACTGCCAAGAGTAAAACTAATGAAACCGGTTGATGTGAGAGGGATTCAATTCATTTCAAGTTTATTTATATAGCACCAAATCATGACAAGAGTTGTCTCAAGGCACTTCTCATAATAAACATTCCAATACAGGTCAGTTCAGTAAGTCAATCAGAAAAAAAGTTTCCTATATGAGGAAACCATCAAATTGCACTTTACAGCAATCCTCATACTAAGCAAGCATGTAGCGACAGTGAAGAGGAAAACTCCCTGTTAACAGGAAGAAACCTCAAGAGGATCCTGGCTCAGTATAAGCAGCCATCCACCACGACTCACTGGGGATCGAGAAGACAAGAGCACACGCACACACGTATGGACGCATGCGCACTCGCACGCACACACACACACACACACACACACACACACACACACACACACACACACACACACACACACACACACACACACACACACAACATATATACCAAATAGTGTTTCTATGGTTACATTGTGATTTCTTAGTAAATATTCTATTTTGTGAGAGATAAACTTTATTGTATTTATCCTCGTGAATCTATAATTAAACGGGTAAACTAGTAGTAGCACATTCAATGTCAAAGAAAGTAAATGTTATTATCAGGAGAGGGAGAATGTTTAAGTGGTTAGCAACAGTGTTCAAGGGATTTAGTGCAAATAAACTAATGAGCATGTTTCATATCATCCATCAAGTTTTAATGTACGGAAGGCTGCCACGACGCAACCCTTAGATGGACATATTCCGTGAGCAAGCACCTGGCCATTAAAGTCGAGGGCCAAGGTATCAAGTGGCATTCCATCTGCTGAAGGGTTTGATATAAACCAAATCAGCTAACTTAGCTGTACTAACCGGTTAGCTTCACGGAGATAAACGCAGCTGAATTCCTTAGTGAGAGCGCCTTTACCCACCTGTCCCTGCAGCGACAGACTGCAAGTTGTGTTGAAATCCCTTTGGGGACCATTGTGCAGTTAAAACTCTCGTGGTTTAGAGTTTTGGCTTTAGAAGATCCGTTTTCCACGAGCTCACAGCCATCTTGGCGCCTGAAAAACCGGGAAGAAGGGGGAAGTGACCTCTCCTTTTTTTCCTCTGCCTCTATTCTGTCTTTTAACTTAAGAAAATTCCTAATAGGTTTTCTTTACTGAGCTGGTGAACAACATCTTGATTTGACCTGTGACATTCCTGTCCATAAATGTTGAATATTGATGTCCATCAGGAATTTCTCATCATTAGATGCAAGATGGAAAAGTTTCACTAGATAAACTGCAGAGAGATTTTAACACATGCAATCCAGGGTCCAGTGCCTATTCTTCTGACCATAAAACATGCGATCGATCGACCGACTGACCTGACTAAATCCAAGCCGAAAGATGACCATATGCAGAATTTACTGGATGATTAACCAACAATAGTTAAATCAACCAATGCTCTCCTGTCCATACACGTCATCGTGGATTTTTACCACAGCTTACATCCCATTTGACCAGGTGTTAGTTAAGCTCCGCTGGCGTCCACACTATGATGAGCCCTTGTTGGGCTCTCATGGGAGAAATTATGAGAAGTTCCCGACGGACCTTGCTCAATGCAAACAATGGTTCAGATGTTGATTATGCACACCTAAAACCAGTTGAATCATAAACATTCTTGTCAGAAATTGCATTGTTGGTTGATCTTTATGAAATCAACCCTTCTCACCAAAGATAACGCCAATCCTTAAAATACCCTCCTCTCATGCTCACAGCTGAACATCTATTTCTCTCTTTGCTCTCCTTTTTTTCTGGTTTTTACATCAGCTTCTTTCCTTTTTTCCTTCCCTCTCTCATGTTTTCCTCTCATGACCTCCTCAGCATGTTCCTTTTCTGTCTCTTCTTCGTGACTCAGCCTTAACATAACTTGCTGGCACTGGTTTAATCCTATTTTTTCTCCTTCTCTTCTCTGTGCAGCCACAAGCCTCCTCAGCTGTAGCTGTACCACTCTGGTGCTTTATCCATTTTTAAACAGTCCATCAAGTTCTAGCACAAGCTGTTTTAAAAATACTCCAGCTTATTAATTGATGGAGGAGGCATCAGAGGTTTGATGCAAACCAAGACAACCACCTTCTCTTTTGGATGATATAAAATTGTGGTATTTCATTGTCATCCCCTAGGATGATGTCCTGAAGAGAGGATGGTGTGTTTAACCACTTGTGTGTCTGCGTGGTAGTTTGTGACTGTGATAAATGGAGAATTAGTTATTTTCTAGGTGACTCTGATGAATACATTGAGAGGACAGATAGTTGCCTTGTCTGGAATTACGGTTGTAATTAATGTGTTTAAGGGGAGAAAGGCAGACTCTATCACATGAGGTGGATAAATAGAAAATTAAACTCTTTTATAATAGCAAAACAATTGTATGCTGCTGTTTAGCAGGTAACCCCTGTAGTGGCAGGCCAGGACACTAGGGGTGCTAGAGAGAGTGCATACACTGTATTAGAAGAAGAGTAATAAACAGGACACAGGTTTAGCATTGATGGAAAGGATGGCAGAGAAATGGGTTTTTTTTCTTTTAGTTTCTTCTGGTTCAGGTTCTATATATGTGTTTGAATGTTTTTGTTATTTGTTTAAATGTAATAAAATTTCTATTAATTGATAACTCTTTTTTGATCATTAACAGTTTTATTATTCAGTTTTTAACAAGTAACAACATAGTAAATAAATGGTAAGGGAACACTGTAAGGAATAAAATTAAAGATAAAAGTAAAATATATTCAGTAAACTTGGAAAGCAGGGAGTCTTTGGTGGTGTTGCTAAATCTACTAAACATGGATCGAGGTGGATGGAGTGCAGGAACCGAGATCCGTGGCTGAACGTTTCTGGTTGGCAAGTGGAACATCAGACAGAGTGGTCTGCAGAGGGTGCTTCTGGATGCCTCATCTCACTGACCACTGCATCGTCCATCAAAAGGGTTTGCTGGGCTGGCTCACTCGACGGCTGTCACATCACTAACATTCAGATATATGCAAAAAAGGAGATCATGAGTATAATACTTGTAACTCTAGCAGATAACAGGACTAAATGATTTTTAAACCTTAAATACAAAGGCCGGTGACGTTTATTGAGCCGTCGCAGCTCCTCAAAAACCACAAATAAAATGAAACATTGCTGTGGATCAATTTTCAATGTCGCTACTAGCTTGTTAGCCTGTTTGCCGCCGTCATGGTAGCTAGGCAACTTGACCTGGGGGCGGGAATAAAAACGAGGCTAGGACTGTCCGAATTCAGAGCCGCTGACTTCCGGTTTTAGCGGTCTTGCAAGGACCCGGCCTTGCTAGACCGGCGAGGACCCGTACTCACAAGCATCCTTCCTCTGGATTTGGACACAGCCACAGACCTTTTTCACACTTCCTAGATTTTTTACAGGAAGTACATACCCATTTGCAAAAACCAATATCCGGCAACAATGGCGCAATCTAGAAGCAGAAGTTATTGCGGCATACCAGGCGGTTATTCTTATGCTCAGAAGAGGCCCTACCCCCATTTCCATTCGTTTCCAGGAGCAATTGATGTTAGACAAAAGTGGGCAAGCGCGATCTAGCATGAGAAGGGGCTTAAGTCTTTTTATTAGAAGAGGCAGTACTTATGCACAGACTGCAGTTAGACCCAAATCTCTACCTGATGAAGACAATAACACAAGTGCGAAATGAAGTGAAAAAGCAGCAGCTGTCATGTTCTGGTGAAGTCTCCTGGCCCAGGACATACGGAATCAATACAGGAGGCAAAAACTGAAGAAATAATATTTATTTTAAGAAAAGGGGAACTAAGGGAGCGCCGTCAAAAGGAGTAGAGGAGGGTCCGTTCAGTCTAGTGACGAGGCGGTGGGTTTGGAAGGCGGATGTGGTGTTGGCGGGAGGTTGTCAGGTATGAGGTGTAGGTCAGGCTCGAAAGTCCTTCCAGGAGGGGAGAAGAGAGTGCCAGGTGAGTGATGGAGAGCGGGTCGGTCTGGCTCAGCATGGGGAGATGTGGTCCAGAGATGAGGTCCGTAGGTTTATGGCTGGAGGGATGGACGTGGCGAGTGTTCCTGGAGACAAAAAGGGGAATTACCAACTCGAGGAACAAGAGACAAGCACAAAAGGTTCAAAGCTTGAGAGGCTGGCATGTGATCTCATGCAGGTGTGTGCAATACCCAAACTGAGTAATCATCCAGCAAGGTGACGTTGTCTCCCTGCTCCTTTTAAGCCCAGACCGGTTGATGGGGAATCAGCTGCAGCTGCCCGCTCCTCGGCACCACCCACTTGCAATTAAGCACTCACACCTGGGTTAAGGAGGAACCACTCACCTCAGACCATGACAGCAGCTGTTGATCAGATGGAAAAAGCCAAGTTAAAAAGAACCCGGACTATTAAAGTATCTTATTCCAGTTTTGGTTCTTTTTAAAACACAGGAAAGGTTTTTCTATACCTTGCTAACATTTCGTTTGCCGACTGCAAAACATCCTCAGAGCTGACGCTGTTGGTTCCTAGTCCGTATATCCGCGGGTAGCAGAGGACGTTGTTGCCCTCTGCTGCCCGCTCTCCCCTTTTCGATGATGCAGTCCCATGCGCGATCCAATGTGTAGACCCCATCGTCTCTGGTCATGGTCTCACATCCACGTCTCCTTATCTCTATAGCTTCTGTTATCCATCTTTTGTATTCCTGTTGTTCGGTGTTTATGATCCTTGTGTTGTCCCAGTCCATTACATGGTTTTCTCTTGTGCAGTGATCTGTTACGGCTGACTTCTTTATTGTGCTTTCTGCTTCTTGTTTTGCTGCTCTTGTGTGTTTTCAACTTGTTTCTTTCTCGCACTCCTTTCTATGTTCTATTGTTTGTGTGTTGAGTTGGCGTCCGGTTTCTCCTATGTATGTTTTATTGCAGAGTTTGCATGGGATTTCATTAATGACTCCACATTTAAGTCCCGCTGGTATTTTGTCGTTTGGGTGCATTCGTCTGTTTCTAACTATTGTGTATGGTTTTGTTGGTGTGTTTATGTTGTGTTTTTTCATTGTTGCTCTTATTTTTTCTGTTATGCCTTTGATGTATGGTAGGGCATCACTGGTTTTGGTTCTTGTCTTTCTGGGTTTCTGGTTCTTTGCTTCGGTTGTTCTTTTCTTTCTGTTACTGTTTGTTGTTTTCTTTTGTTTATCCATGTCGGGTATCCGCAGGTCTTTAAAGAGTGTTGTATGTGTTTGCCCTCTTGTTTGCGGTCTCTTTCTTCTGTTACCATGGTTGCTCGGTGATATAATGTTCTGATTAATGACATTTTGTGTATGGTGGGGTGTTCTGATGTCCATAATAAATATTGGTCTGTGTGTGTTGGTTTTCTATATGTGTTTATGTTTTGGGTCCCGTCGGTCTGCACCCCCTGCCCCTCAGAGCTCCGTGAAGTAGGAAACTGAGTGCTGACCAGAACTAACCAATGGAGTTAAACGACCACTTTTTTTATTCAAATTTAAGGAATACCTTGGCTGATGCAGTTGAGGAACTTTTCACGGGCAAGTAAGTCTTTAAAATATAAATATATGACAACACAACATGACATGAGAATAATACATGTAAAACAACATGTTTTAGCTCTGTTTGTCAGCTACAGAAGCACATTTATTAATAAAAAACGTGAAGTTGCCATCTTAAAAAAACGGACCCAGAGACTATTTGTGTGATATGCTTGTCAGCCACTAGATGGTGCCATCAGATAAGAAATACTCCGGAAAGAGAAATGCGTATTAAAAAGAGACAAATGCGTAATAAAATGTTCATAAAACTATGTTTATTATATGTTATCACAGAACCACATCATAACAAATCTGAATGTTCTTCACCATACAGTGAAATAACATTGCCAACATGATTCCATTATTTTCAGATACTCCGTACATCACATGCTGTGCACCAAAACTTTGAAGCAGTTTGCCTCAGTTACCCTGTTCTTTGGGCAGCGCTTGTAAGCCTCCATGACCGGGTTAGTGCAGGGCTTCCAAATAGGGACCAGGTGAAGTCAAAGACAGTAGCTCCATTATAAAAATCACAAGTTCAGTGGACCGTGTATCTCTTCACCTTACTGTGATAGTGAACATAAATATATATAAATTACTACATTTAAAAGTTTTTAGGTCTTACAGGTATGCATCGTATCAGCCATTTACCTGGTGGCTGGCTAGGGAGAAGAATACGCAGAGTCCTCCCATCGACGCAGCAGATGTTGTTCATGTAGACGTAAAAACATCACAAAAATAGGTTTTTACCATCTTAAGAATATCGCCAGAGTCCGACCCATTCTCTCTTGGGCCAATAGGGAGACGCTGATGCATGCTTTTGTAACCAGTAGAATTGATTACTGCAATGCCCTGCTTTCTGGTCTTCCCAAAAAGAGCATCTCAGGTTTACAACTTTTACAAAACTCAGCAGCACGTGTCCTGATGAAGACCAGGAAGCGGGAGCACATCACTCCGGTTTTAAAATCACTGCACTGGCTCCCCATATGTTTCAGGATTGATTTTAAGGTTCTTTTAATGGTTTTTACGTGTCTTAATGGTCTTGGGCCTTCTTATCTTTCAGAACTGCTTTTACTATATAAACCCTCGCGGTCTCTGCGCTCCTCTGGCAGCCGTCTCCTAGTTATCCCTAAAGTTAAGACTCACACCCACGGCGAGGCGTCCTTCAAGTATTACGGCCCTCGCCTTTGGAACGGGCTGCCGGAGGACCTCAGGTCCGAAGAGAACATCCAGGCTTTTAAGAATAGGCTCAAGACCCACCTTTTTAGCTTAGCTTTTAACTGATCACTATTTATCTATAAATACATATTTATCTCTTTTATTATTTTTATCATTTTATCTACATCTTAGTGTTTTTACATGATTATGTTTTCTTTTACTATCTTTATAATCACTTTTTATCAGTTACTTTTTATCATTATTAGCTTTTATTATTTTATATGTTATATATCTTAAATCCTCCAGTGTTTCCTCTGCGGAGCCCTCTGCCTTGGGGCCGGTGGTCAGGGGCGGTGGCGGCCGGAGCGCTCCCCGGGTAGTGCCCGGGCACTGGTGGGGGTTTCTGCCCTACTCCACTGGGCGTCATGGGCCGGTGTCTTGGCTGCTGCCGTGGATCTGTTGCTGCCAGGGCAGATGGCTCCGCTGATGATGTGTCGTTCATTACCTGACCCATCTGAACTCAGCCTATTGTTTCCTCTGGTGTTCACGAGTGTGTGTGTGTGCGTGTGTGTGTGTGTGCATGGACGAGTGTGCGGGTGATTGTATGTCCACTTTGGAAGTTGGGTGCGGGAGGGGAACTGTAATTGTTAATTGTTTTATACTTGGGGAGGGGGGCTGGGATGGGAATGTGGGATCTATGGGGCCATTTTAATCTGTAAAGCACTTTGAGTTGCATTTTTTGTATGAAAAGTGCTATATAAATAAAGTTGATTTGATTTGATTTGACAAGTCATGGTGTTCCTTTAATAGAAGAGAAGATTGAATGCCTGTGTGTCCCAGCATGTTTTTGTACCAACCCCTGCTGTTCTGCACCTCTTTTCAGGTGATGATCCTGTACTTTAATCCCAGCGTGTTCAGCTGTATCCTCCTGAGGTGGGTCCGTCTCCTAGGGTTCGCCATCCTGTATGGCACGGTCATCCTCAAGTTGTACAGGTACGATTAAAAAAAAAGTAAGGGACTGCAGCATGGTGTCATCTTCATGTTACTTACATCCTCTTTTCATTAATTATTTCTATAACAGAATCAAAATGAAAGCCCAGACTAAAAATAGACCAGCCCCATCTCTTTGCCTCACATCTCCTCCCCCTCAACTTCTCTTCACTCTTCATGAGTTAACCTTTTTCAGTTTCAATAATTCAGCTCAGTGTGCACACGGAACTGCGTTCCGTCCCACCCATAAGCACTAGCGCTTCATAACAGGTTTGATCTGCCTTCCACACACGCACACGTATGCACGCACATACAAGGCATACCAAAAGGAGGTCAACAATTGGTCCGATTGTTCTCCTGGCTAAACCACAGATATTTCGTCTTAATTCGATGGTTTGGAAATTGGCCGTGAGGCTGTGTTCTCACAGCCCGCTCCTTCAAAAGCTCCTGCAGGAAATGAAATACTTTTGTCACATTCTGAAGGACTGCAGATGATGAGCTATCTAAATACAACAGTACCCTTAATACAGTCCCATCAAAAGTTGAAGACATTTGAAAATTGGTAAAAATCATATTTTGCATGTTTTGATCTTAACAATTTCTCAAGTATAGCTTCAAAATGCAACATGACGAAATGGGAGTGAGACCAAATATTTTCTGAGCAGCAATTTATTGAAACAATGCAAACAGGCTGTTTTGCAGCTGATCAAAGGTTTAAGACCACTTGCCTTTAAAGGCCAAATCTGTGCAAACAAGTGGAGTCGTTGTCATTTTCTGTCTCTGACGTTCTGATGGCAAAGGCAAAGAAAAGGAGGTTGTTTGAGTGCACAAGGTTGTCTCTCAGCACACTGAGGTGGGATGCAGTCAGACATTCATTTGAAATTTCCTAAATGACCATGAGTGGTGTGGTCTTTTGACCAGCTGTAACAACCTGTTTCAGTTGGCTGAATTTCTACTTCTCTCTACTATCTCCAACCACACAAAACATTTGTTTTGCCATTTTTCAAGTGGTCTTAAACTTTTGATCAGGACTGCAGCAATAATAACCCAATTTATCCAAAGTTTCAGGCATAGATTACTTTTTAGATCAGATAAGGCTGGTTAGGATAGCTTTCCCCTAAAAAATTAAACCACAATTTACAAACAGCTTTTTATATTTTGATTTTGAAATGTGTCTGTTGATCTGGATCATTTACGTTTTACCAAAAGTTAGAAGAAATCTATGAAGGAACAAAAAAATTTTGTATTATTGTTCTGTTTTGCTGCACTCCAGTTCTCTGTAGAGACAGCCTATTTTCATGAATTTGTTTCAAAATCTACCTTTTTGTTTTGTTTTTAGCGTTTTTTGTTGGTTGTTGATGGTTTCGGTGGTCAACATTCATATTTCTAGTACTTCTTTTATAATACACATGGATATTTTTAGTATTTTAGTCAGAAAAGGCAGATCAGAGTGGCTGTTTATCGTTTTACTCCACTGATAAGAATCACCACCTGAAGTCTAGTCAGTCCCCTTCTGTCTTCCCAGGGTGTTAATGGTGTTCCTGTCCCGCACGGCCCAGAGGACGCCCTACATGACCAGCTGGAGGGTCCTGCATCTGCTGGTGGTGATTCTCCTGGTGGTGTTCTGGTTCCTGGTGGCTTGGACCTCCGCTGTGTGTGAGAAACCGGAGCTGAGCCGAGCTCTCATCACAGTGGGCCTCACTTCAGAGGGACTACAGTTCAGTATGTGTCTGCTGGACCGATGGGACTACATGATGGCTGTGGGTGAGTGTTTGTGTTCTGTGTTTTTGTATAGTGTGCATGTGAATCTGGGCCACATATGGTGCTGCCTGCTGCTCGGATTTGGTTTCAGTTCGGTTTGACGAACAAGATGTACGAATACAAGAACAAGTCATCTCATGTTCATGGTTGAACCGCTAGTTCCCTCCTCTGAGCTGCTTCATCCCCAAATACTCTGCATAATTTCTGCACACATGATAAATAATAAATGACCCGCACTTGTATAGCACCTCTCAGAGTAAGGACTCCAAAGCGCTTTACACTACAGTGTATCATTCATCCATTCAGACACACATTCACACACTGATGGTGATGAACTACGATGTAGCCACAGCTGCCCTGGGGCGCACTGACAGAGGCGAGGCTGCCGAGCACAGGCGCCACCGGTCCCTCCGACCACCACCAGCAGGCAAGGTGGGTTAAGTGTCTTGCGCAAGGACACAACAGCAGAATTGTCTGTCCAGAGCCGGGATCGAACCTGCAACCTTCCGATTACTGGACAACCCGCTAAACCTGTTGAGCTACTACTGCCTCACAAAAATCCAAGCAACTAAATCTCACCTCTATTATACTTCTGTTGATGTGGCTGAAGTGCAAATTACAGGAGTTTAGAGCAGAATTAATGCAACGGGCAACAGCTCTCTGGCACTTTGGGGAATTTATAAAAGCCGTTAAACACCTATTTTACCTACAGTCGTTAAACCTTAACTCAGTAACCACTTATTCACCACAAACCTCTCGTTGATTAATGCCGAAAATACCAAAACACTAAGAAATAGAAACTTTTGATTTGTGTGTTTATCTAGTTCTTGTTGATAATAAGAATACCAGCAGGTGGCTGTGGACTAAATTTGAATTTAACGAACCATTTTAATTATTTAACAACCACACCTCTTTGTTGTATCACTATTTGTCACGTGAGGGTACACAGAAATAAACCCAAATGCAGGAGGCCGGATGACTTGATCCCGGTCTGAGTTCTTTTAATAACAAAAAAATAAAAAATCACCACATCAGTGGGAAATAAGGCTTTGCAGGTTTTACTTGAAACAAGACTACAAATGGCAATCCACAGGCTCAAAGCAGCGCTACAAAACAACGCCTCACCGTGCACTGGGAACAGCTGCTTAAATACAAGGTGTGGCAATCAGGATATTGCAGTCAGCTGTGGCACTCCCCGGTGCTCCACACAGGGGTAGGAATTGCAGGAAGAACCACAGCCAACCGACACAGAGAAGAAACACACATTAAAAAACGATCACGAGGTGTAGACCACAACACTATTTTACAAAGCAATCATTTATCCCAGTACAAATAATATTATTACAAGTAAAATTGAAATTACTGATATCAACGGGTATTTCGTTAGAAGTAGATATTTTAAGTAAGGATAACTGCACTGATTTGAGACAACCCCATATTCTTAAAAAAGAGAGAAAAAAACAAGGTGGACTCTAACATGCACTAGGCGGAGTAAATATTAATATTCCTTATATCTGTAATAGCATTCTTACCACTCACAACAAACACTTCAGATATCTAATTATTCTTGGGACAAATGATGACAGAAATGTGTCATTTTAAAAAGTGGGCGACACATGCCCCCGCCTGACATAATGCTGTAAGCCTACGGTGTGTGTCGGTTGGGGCGGTGGCGTGTATGTACGTGTGTGCGTGTAATTAAACACATTGAGGCAATGTTTTCCAACAGTTTCCCTGTACAACGTGTTGTAATGCTACAGAGAAGAAAGCTGCTGCCAAGTCATCATATACGTGAAAATGTTTTATGAAACATTAGAGTTTATTTAAATTAAGGTAATTGGCCTGTACTTGTATAGCGCCTCCATAGGGTTCCAGAGCCCCCCAAAGCACTTTGCAAAACAGTCATTCTCCCATGCATACAGATGTCCTGGGGCGAACTTAGAGAGGTGAGGCTTCCGAACCACGGGTTCCTCCGACCACCACCAGCAGGCAGTGGGTGTGAAGTGTCTTGCCTTGGTCGTAAAAGCAGGAAGGACTGGTGTAGATCGTGGTGTCCGTCTAAATCCTAATCTCCCCTTTTCCGTCTGCGTTGGGAAGGACGCACGCAACGCCATTATTCTTCCTTCCAAGGGCTCTCCAGCAGGCTCGCAAGGGCAGACAGAGTCGCGCTCTCTTTTCTAAACATCCATCCAACGAGATGGCGAACGCAAGCTTGTGATTGGTCAAGACGCCGCCATCATCAACAGCGCCGCCATTGCGCCCTCAAAAACGTAAAGAGAGATGAAGATATCTAGCAGCAGACACGGAGCAGCTTGAAGAATACCTTGCGGAAAAACGCTAAAAATATGAACATTTTATTCCGCCGTGACTGGAGGAGTGAAAAGATGCCCAGCAAGCGTTTTATTCGTGGACGGAAATGACGGGAAACGTGGGTTTAGAGGTGGCGAGTGCGTGTTTGTCCATGTTAAAAGGTCTCTGAAATACAAAAAAATAAAATAAAAATAAATAACCCACAATATAAACACAATAGTAAATACACTTTCTTGGACCGGATACATGACAGGATACCACAGAACAGCGCTACACCCTCTGTTGTCCTTGCGGGGAATGGCTTTAACCCTCCCACTGTCCTTATGGGTGTGACCCCGCGAGGAAGGTTGACCATTGAGCAGGGTTGATGGTTTATCCCTTGGGTCCATGTGGCAGGGGTGAGGTGGTGCTCAGTGGGAGGGTTAAAACATTCCCCAGGAGACAGAGGAGTCCGAGAGCAAAACGTCTGTTAGTTTGTGCGTGTCTCTCTCTCGTGGAGCTGATGGAGAAGTATAAATTAGGCTTAATTGTCAGACTGAGAGCAGGAGGTTAGAACCCAAACACTACCACACTACTACAAGGGAGGCTTCTGGGTCGACTCCAGGCCATGAACGCAGACCTTGAGGTGAGAGGGGAGATCCCTTAGCGACCTGACCCACCAGAAGACGGGAGGTGGCGTCAGGAGGACCTGCGTCTCCCCAGCAACGCTGATCTGGAGGGGAAACCTGGACCCTTCCTTGGCTGTTGTGAGGTGGGGGGCTGGACTACCGGAGATGAAGAGGTGGGATTATCTGAACCAGGCGGTGATGAGGACCAGCCCACCAGAGGTGAAGAGGTGGCACTGATGGGAAGAGGGTGATGTGACATGGCAGCCTACCAGAGATGAGGAAGTAGCACTGCCAGGACCAGAAGGAGACGTGGTAGACTGTATTGCGGGGGGGGGGGGGCATTTACAGCCAAATGTCCGATGCAGCTCCTTGGCAAATGTCCAGAATGACACGGATCTTAATGTTCTTCAAAATTGTCCGCAGTCCACTCCAGGCCGCTACTACCCAAATTAACCACCATGAGGGAGACCCTTGTCAAACTCCGAGGAAGCCGGGTCCAGACGAGCGTAGGCTTCGATGAAGTCTCGGCAAGAATCTGGGTCGCCACAGTACCTGTAGCGGTGTGATGTGGGTGGAGTCGAGGGTTCTGCTGGATCCAGTGGTGGTTGGTCCATTCTGTCACTCTGAGAGCAGGAGGTTAGGACCCCCATTGCAGAACGCCAGATCACTCGAGGCAGGAACGGTTGTTGAAAGTAAAATCCTTTATTTAGGATGATGGGTGAATATCCCAAGGGGCAGGAAGCCAAACCGAAAATCTGGAAAAAAATAAACTAAACTACAAAACAAAGCTTATTCATGAGCAAGAACCTGGAGTTCCTGAGGAGGACAGAACAACGCTGACAAAGACAATGGACCAACAAACACTAAGGGACAAGACAGGGTTTTTAAACACAGAGGGAAGCAATCAGGGGGACAGGTGTGAGGAGTGAGGTCTAGAGGGGAGACAGGTGCCATCAATAAACTAAATGGGGGAAAGAACTAAGCAGAGGGGGAGCTAAACCATAACCTATAAAACACTAAATAACTAAACCTAAAGACTAAGGGCAAAGATAAACAACTAATGACTAGAGGGATGAGGAGGACTAATACAAAATCAAATAGGATCTTCCAGGGAGTGACTAGGAGGAAACAAGAGGGAAGCCTAGAGGGAGCTGGGGCCCTAAGGGATACAGAACATGACATTAATGGCCCACTTCCCCTCCTTTATCAGGAAATGCTCACCTCTCATCTGACCATCTTCAATGTTGGTAACCCTAAACAGTTGCGCTGAGCACCCACCCACCTTCATAAAGGCACCATGTCCACATACACAGACGACCACTCTTTCAACTGATAAGCTGTCTCTTCTTCTTTTTGAGTCCTGCCAGCATCCCTATCACTGCAGTAATCACTCACAGCTGGTCTTCAACGGCACACCACGACAGATTGGCTCCACCCCTCTGATTGTATGACTGGTTGTTGCTCTTTATGTGACCCTATGATGGACCGGTCCACAGGGTATGCCCCAGCTCTTGCTCAATGACTGCTGTAGATAAACACAATCCCCCTCCTGCAACCCTGCAGAGGAGCAAGCAGGTAAAAAAGATGGGTTGGAAAAGACTGCTGAAAGTTTAGAAAATGCATTGTGACCTTTGCATTTATAAAAATAGGTGAGAATATTGGCTTAGTGTTTTCAAATCCAGAGACCAACGCCAGGAAAAAATGGATAAAATGTCAGAGTGACTTTTCTTTAGTTTCCTGCCCTCCAGATTTCTCACTCAGATTGTGAACATAAAGTTCTCTTTGCTTTATCATTGCTGTTTACAGGCAGCAAATGGCTTGGAAAAATATAGAAGCTTGACTGCAATGAAATAAGCATACCAGCATCATCTTGACCTTCTAAAAATGTCCTACATTTGGAAAAAACCGTCTGCTTCCTCCGAGACTTTTTACACCTTAATTCATTTAAATCTGTTGACTCGGAGCTCTGAGAGTAAAACCCTGTTTTGATTAACAGTTAAAATGAAGGTTTTATCTACATTTCTACTAACAAGTGATTTAAAAGAGCACGTTATCAGTGGGGAAAACAAACGTAGTTACCATTTGATTTGATCTTTTTTCTTCCACATGGCAGCCCTACTGGTGTATTTTTTGTTTGTCAGTCCCTGACTGTTTTACGTTTTTGTATTTGTCTGACCTTATAGTTAATATTTTCTTTCCATTTTGTGAAAACTTTGAAGCAGATGATATAAGAAACCCACTAATTATTTTTGGTCCTGGATTATTTTTGAACCTCAAGCCTTGCTGCGCCGTGGAGACTTTTGGCGCTTACACATTAGCGCCGGTACTAACTGTAGACCACTGACCGATCATTGTGAATTTGTCATGATCCTGCCATACCCTGACCTCCATGCACCATCATTCATATCATCAGCCTTCATGCATCACACCTGTCCCCTCATCAAGCTCATGCCACTGTAGCGTAATGGTTTATGGCTCTTTTATGAACGATGAACCATTCTACATAATAATCTGGAATATTAATTTTAACAAAATTAATAACCAAATTTATAGAGATAAGAAAACTCAAAGGTTGTTTTCATCGATAAACTGACGATCATATCTGTTTGTCTGTGTTTCAGTTCAGTGAAAAGACAAGTTTAAATTTTAAGATTTTTAATTCTTCAATTTAAACTTAACGATTTGAAATGACAATCATAGGAAACAATCAACATTGGCAACCTTGTTGGACAATCTTTAACAGTTGATATTTTAAGCTTGCACAAATAGACCTTGTGTTGGATGTGCTAAGATTTGAGAATAATGGAATTATGAATGCGTGCATGCAGGTGTCTGAGATTGCTTCAGGGAGAGAAAAGGTGATTTGAGTGAAAAATGATGTTTTGAATTAAACTTTAGTTTTTATTAGGAAAACCAGCATCAGAACGCTATCTATCGTGTTCTGCCTCACCGACTCAGGACCCCCTTTAGATCCGGACCCTGGAGGATGTTTTATCCAGAAGACACCTTGGCTGGCAGAGAAGACGAAGGTGTGTGGTGGTCCAGTCCCGGGTTGACCTCGGTACATGTTGCTGAAGCGTTCGACAGATGCGCTTTCTCAAGTTTAAATTAACTCAGAAATCAAAGACTCTGGTACGAGTCTGCGTAAGCTGGTTGCATTTCAGCTATTCTGTCTGGCTTGACAGAAATAGCGTGGGGGGGGGGGGGGGGGGGGGGTACAGGAGCCTGCAGGCTCCCTTCCCCGTGGTGTTCGTTCCACACGTCCGCTCTCTTTCGTTCTCTCTCTCGAACTGACTAACTTACCCAAAACCACTTCTCTTCCCAAAGCAAACTTGTTGTGCGTCAGAGCAAATGTGTTTTGGAGTTACTGTGAATCCAGACCTGTGTGAGCGAGTGTGAAGGTCATTGCTAAACATCTTTAAAAACATTATTTAATTAATTATACTGATTCATTATAGTTCATTATGATTACCCAAAGCATAATAATCATTCATTTGATTAAAATACATTTATAATGAGCAAAGTGATCAAATGATTATTTAACTTTAATAATGAAGAAAGTTTAAGACTTTGTTTTATTATGACTAGACTGTGAAGTTGAAGTCCTTCCTCTGGAGACCAGGTGTGCGATTGTTGTGAAGTTCTTCAGACTTGCTGTCAGCAAAGGTCTTAATCTGTGGTTGAAAGGCTGCGTGACCCAGCTCTGACCCAGCTGGGCAAATACGACCTTTGGCACAGAAAAACCCATACTTCCTCACGTTACACCACACACCTGCCTCACCAGCTATATGTTTCGCAGTCAACCACCAGCACTCTGCCAGATTATTGAACGCTCCTGCTAGTAAATCTTTCAGCCTTTTTCATCCTGCCTGATCATAGCCTCCCAACCTCGTTTTCACACCTGACACTCGCCAAGAACTCTGCCTGCCTCCACGACCCTCACCTGTCTCCGACCATGTCTCTCGCCAGCTCCTTGTACCTGCATCGTCTCTACCTGGTTCCGACCCACACCTGCCTTAGACTCTGCCTTTACCTGAGTTTTACTCCGGGAACACCTCCTATTAGCTTCAGGCTAATAAAGACTGTTAAATCGTCTTACTGTGTTTGGTGTCTTCACAGGTCCTCAAGTTGTGGCCATTACAGAATTGCATTCAATTGGTTTTCTTTATCCACCAGGAGGTTGGGACATTGGTACACCTTCATTTATAAGACCATCCTTAGATTACTACCTACCTGCATCTGTAAACTAATCTCACGGAGAAGTGAGACTTCATAGTCTACGTGCAAATGATCAGCTGTTACGTTGTGTTCCATTTGCTTGCACCGAACGTGTCACGTTGAGAGCAGGGAGGATTGGACCCAAGATGCAGGAACCCAGAAACTACTCAGGCTAGTGGTATAAAAAGAAAATCCTTTATTTAGGACGATGAGCCAAAATCCAAATGGGCAGGAAGCCAAGGCTAGTACCACTTTATGAGCAGGAACCTAGAGCTCTATAGTGGAGGACAAACCAACGCTGACACAGACAGGGTTATATGCACAGGGGCTGGGTGATTGGGAGACGAGGAGCAGGTGCGTGGGGAGGGAAAACTGAGGAGAGACTGGTGAGATCAATTAACTAAATGGGAAGGGAAAACCAAGCAAAGGAAGGGATAAACCATAACCTGTGAATCCCTAAATAAATAAACTTAAAGACTAAGGATCTGTCATGTGCTGTGACCTTGTGGTCCACAGCCCCTTCCAGGTTTTCCCCCAGGTTTCCCTCCAGGTTCTCCTCATGTGTCCCCAAGTCTTCTGTGCCCCTTTTGTCCCCAGCTCCCTCCCGGTTTCCCTCAGGTCTCTCCCAGTCACCCCTCTGTAGGGTTCAGCTTTTCATTTTATTAGTCTCCTTTAGTGTGTGTGTTTTCCTTCCCCACTTGTTAATTAGTCTCCCTCACTCCCCAGGGGCCTCATTTATAAAGCTTGCTTACGCACAAAACGGGGTTGGAAAACTGCGTAAGCAACTTTCCACGCAAACTTTGGGGTTTATAAAAGATAACTTGGCGGAAAAATGTGTGCAACTTTAAGCTGACTAAGGACCTGGCTTACACACATGTTGGACATGGAGAGCACCTGCCGTGCTGCTGCTGAGAAGGATCAAATTATGAAATCCTGCAGCATTATCACTTGTACTGCTTCGTTTTCACACAGAACAAGACCCCCAACACGCACGCACGCACGCACGCACGCACACACACACACACACACACACACACACACACACACAGCCTGAAGCACAGAACACGGAATGCAGAATATCAGCAGGGGGACAGATTGAGACAGAATGTCATGCATCTGTGACAGTGTGTCCTGTAGGGGTTGTATCAACTAGTCGACTTCACTGCTCTGTAGTGACTTTTTATGCTCGTCATCGACTAGCCGCTGTCACGTGATAATGACCGGCAAGATGCAGTCCTCGGAAAAGACAGCAGGTGACGAGCCCCTGCGTGTTGGGAGGCAACGCGCTGTGCCAGAGCGTCGGTACTGACGCCCGCCGTAAAACGGACATTTGACCAAATTGTGACCTTTACCCTCTTGCAATTTAACCTTCCCCTCACCCCCATCTTAACCTTAACCAGCTTGCGCGTGCAAAGCTCTGATTGTTGACGCGCTCCAGACATCTGCGTCCTGAGCACGGCCACAGTAACAGTATCAAATTAGGTGTCGCCACCTCAAAAACCAATTTAACACGTTATCGTTCATGTTGGCTCATTTCCTTTTATGTTTTCTGTCTTTTATTTGTGCCTGATGCTTTTCGCTGCTGTGGAGCGGGGCACATCACCTTGTCCTCCGGTGACGCACCTCACCGGTGCGGCCAGCGCGCACTCCGCTGTTTTTGCGGTCGGTAGATCTTTTAGAACTGCAGTTCAAAGGTAACTCATAAGGTGAATATAAATGAACCCAGGTAGTAGCCTGGTTTTTCTTTAGGATTGAGAGGAGATGCAGGAAGATAATAAACAGACAGGACAGAAAAATAGTCAAATAGAACAAGTTAGTTTTTGTACCTGGTGGTTGCAACAAACAGACACCATTGAAGGTAATCAGAAGTGAGGAACAGAAAATGAAATAATTATTTTAATGTATAGAGCAGCAGGAACTCCGAGAGGCTGCAGGCGCATCAGTGAGTTTGCGGCCGCTGTGCGGGGGAGGGGGGAGGGGGCTGAAGCAGAAACTACCGTTGTTAAAAGAAATGTGTTTAACTTTGAAATTGTGGGCGCAATTTTAATCGTCAAAAAAAAAAAACTCCAGCGAACCAACCGACCCCCCCACCCTCCTTCAGGTGTATGACGTCATCAACGACTAGTCAAAGTCGACTCAATTTTCATTACTTGACTGTCGACTTTTAAAAAAATTAAGTCATGCAGCCCCTAGTGTCCTGTCACTGTGACCTGATTGATCATGCGCCCTGGCTACTTGTACAGGGGAGATCTCTGTTTGGGTGACTGGTTAGCCCATGTGACTTTCACCTGGGAGTCTGGCGATCGAATTCCAATTGGATCTTTTTTTTTATATCCGCC